CCACCCTCCTAGCCAGAAAATGTTCATCTGTCCATGAAACCCCCGGAGTCCTTGCTATGACATGATTAGGTCTTTACACGAGGAAGTCTAGTTTGGAAGAGGAAGAGCGAGGGAGAAATGTGAGGGGAGTGAGGGGCTGCCTCTCTCTGGCTATTGTTTGGACACAGTTCCTCTCACGCTGCATTGACCACAGACAGGGCGTGGCTGAGGGGGGCCAGGCAGGGAATATGAGGAGTGGTGGGAGAGGGGGTTGAGGTATTTGGGTGGTGATAGATACAGTGGGCAAGGTTATTGTGAATTGCATACTTTCTCTGCATGTGGACAGCGGACAGGAAGGAGGGTGGTCCCTGGTGAGTGTTTCACAGAGAAAGAAAGAGAAAGAGCTGGGTGGGAGGGACGTTTGTGCCCCTGTAGTTTGGCTCTCTTTTCCCAGCTCTGCTCATGTGCACGATGAAGTAATGAGAGACCCGGGGCCTCTGACAAACTCAGGCCAGATGGGGAGAGGATTCTTCCCCACAATTACTCTGCAGCAGAAGGCATTAGAGCTGCTGCAGCTTTGCCTCTACGGAGAAATCCTAATCACTGGGTCTTTTAGGAGAATACTTAATCAACACCCTTTTACAGCACGACATTCAATTTGGAGGGTGTCTTAAAAGGTTTAGCTGTGTGATCGGCCTCCATCCCTGAAAATAATATACTAGTGTACTGAGATTTTTCTGGAGCTCATACAAAAGGATGTCAGAGGTATGAGCAGATAGTTCTTAATCTCTTTTTTATCAATCTATTTCCAAGTTTCCTCAGAAGATATTTTCAATATTTTTCAAAACGTTTCAAAATAAAAGCTGGATGAATTTTGCTTAAATATCCTGCCTTCTGCAAATTAGGAGGGAAAGTGCAAGGCAGGTAAAATAAAAATACTTTAATATTGCATGCAGACAATCTGATGATAAACAAATTGGAGTCTCTTAAACAGCTTGATGATACAATACATTTCTCCACCATGGTCAGTAAGGGGACAACCATGATCTGCTATTGTGCCATCACACTTTTGCTTATGGGAGCGATGGCCAACTTTTTTTGTTTGGCCACTGCTTAAAGTTCGATCAGCAACTTGGGTAGAGAAGGGACATAGAAGCAGATTGTAAGCTGCAATTGTAAGCTGCAATAATATTAAGATATTGCAATAATATTAAGATATTGCATTATATGCTATACATTTAGTTAGATTTGTTTTAAAGGTCTGATGGTAATAAAGTGTGTCTGTGTATTCGTTCTTTTATTTAAAAAAAAGTTCCATAACAAGGTATTTTTGTTAGATCAGTGTCACTTCTTAAAAAGAGAAAATATTGATTGTTTTATTAGAAACTGTACAACCGCAAAATTAAACAGAATAACTTAATTTATCAAGAAGAGGGATATTATTCATACGTTGACTTCAATCTCATGGCTTTAATAAAATAAGAAAATCTGATACGATAAAATCGTATCTTTAACTCCAAATCACGATATGTATCGTGTGGTGAGTTGAGTGCATCGTTACATCTCTTCAAGCCCCCATACATTTCCCATCTAAAAATGTATGTTAACTTCCATTTCTCTGAAAGAAACTTGAGCACCTTGCTTCTCCCATTGTTTTAAGCACATTGTGTCACCCATACTCCCCATGCAGCATGAGTCACCCCCAGCTGCCTGATGGTTGTGTTTTAGAAAGGTTTATGGATTAGTATTGGCAGACTCCCATGAGTCTGTGATGAGCACTTTCTCACTGAGCGTCTGCAGGGCGCTGATCTACCACAAGTATAAATAATGTAATATCCCATAAGGTTAACTCATATTGATTTTGGAGGACAAAATATTTTTATACAGCCTCCAGACAAATTGAGTGCAGGCTGGATATTTGAGGATTTGTTTCTGTGTGTGTGTGGGGAGGGGGGCATCAGGTTTGGCAGCAATGCTATCATTTGGATTGGTGCTGAAACATCAGCGTTGTCTAGGAATGTTAAACAGGGCCTTGACATCAATGTGATCAATAAAGAGTGTCATCACCCCATCTTGGCAATGAATACATTACTGTCTATAACTTTAATAAAATGAGGCAGGTTGTTTGTTACAGCCAAATACCTTTCTATTGACTTTGATGTACTTTAAGTCATATAACAGTAAGGTAATGTAAGCATTGATATCCTCAGATATGTACCCAGATTTTAAAAAGTGCAGGGAAACTAGTCCAAAGGAAATATGAAACGACAAAAAGTTTTAGATAATTACATCTCTCACTCACTGTGAAGTTCAGTATGAATGATATGCATGAAGGCCATCAGAACAGCAGGCTGAGTTGCTGTGTTCATTGGACATCTGTCAGAGACGCTATTGAAGCTCCACAGGGAAAAAAGCTGAAACTCTGACATTTTGGCACAGTTTAATATATTTACAGGAAGTCACTTCATGCATATTTAAAAATCCTCGTCTCTGTGTGGCTGCTTTGATCCTGCACAGGGCAGAGCCAACAAATGGACTAACAAACAGCCAGGCCTTGAGAGGGATACACACCTAAAGAACATTTAATCTCCCTAAGCCAGTGGACGCTGACGCTGGCTCATCACACTCGCAGAGATCCCTCAGACGAATCATCTTAAACTTCAAATCTTTTTTTTTTTTTTTAAAACATCCTTAAGCTGAACCATTTTCAGGCTCATCCCTCTTAATGCAGGCGACATGAGGGCTCTGCAGTGTTAGTTTTTCAGTTTGAAGGAAAGGATGATGCTGGAGAGGCTGTGTTCAGTTTGATCGGTCACCTGACTGCAAGCCGGGCCTCTGGGAACAGGAAGTATGACATCACTGCCCTGACATTCAGGAATGTGGGAATGTCAAGCGGTCGGTTCACACTACCGGAGCGAAACAGAGACAGAGAGCAAGCAGAATGGATAGCACTGATAGCACATTGCAGATGAGTTATTTCACCCCTAAAGACAACATTACCTTCCGTTTGAACCAAGCCACTACACTGATACAAGGTCTTACCGCAAACAAGCAGAACCAAAAGTATTGCAGTTGAAGTGCGATGTAGTGCTGATACAAACATTTGCAGGCACATATTCCTGTGAAATTACTTTCTAAAGTGAAAAATATACTTCTACTGATTACCTTGAAACCTCAGAATTATTGATCATATCGAGTGCTGGTGTATTTATATTCCTGAGTTAGGTTCAAAGTTTCATTCAAACGGAATAATTCCTGCAATTCTCAAATCTTATTTTGCTTTCTTCGTCGTGCCTAAAGCCCCAAAACTGAAATACCAACTGGAACTTGGCTTATTTTACTTTTCTGTGTGGCCCTGATGAAAAGGTACCCGGCTGTAACTTAAATCTCTCTGTATATATTTTGTTTCAAACAACACAACATGAGGTTTAGCAAACTGACTTTTACACAAGCTGTCACTTACTGCTTACTTTGTATGTAATTGGTAGATTAAACAGTTTATCATTAAGCATCAAATGAGGGACAAATCAGTCTTGATTACACCATCCGTGAGAACTTCCAATCTGCAGTAAATAAATTAGACTAAAGACTACACAGCAATGTAGAATGTAACTTCCAAAGAGTCATAGACTAGCAATGTCCAGATAAAAAAGAAGTCCAAAGAAAAACAAGCAAAGACATGTCAGGATTAAAATCACTTTTTTCTACATATCTCATACTGTAATGCAACTTGATGGCAAAATGTACTCTCAAGATGATATAATAACTGAATTTCATTAATGCCTGCACTGCTGAAGCTCTGAGGAGTTGCAGGACATGTGTTGTACCCATGATTCACAGTGTTGTCAAAAACAAGCGTAGCAACACTCTGATTCCAGATTTCACTGATCAGCCAGGTGCTTGTAGGGCGAGCAGCAGATATGAGGAATCACCTGCTGCTGATCTAAATATCCACAACACAGGGAGTAATTTCACTGACACTGACGGTACTCTGTTTGGTGGAGCTGTGATCTTAACAACCTCAGTCTTTATGTCAATAGCCATTTCCTGTCCTATCTAGACAAACTCTCTGTTCATGGAGGCGATGAGAGGATGAATCTGTCACGTCATTCTCCGTTATGCTCTTTGGACCGTGAACACATGTCTTTGCTGTTCAGCACAACATGCAAACAAAATCACAGGGACTTTCCCCTGCATTGCTGTTCCAATCATTACAAAATAAAGTCATCATAAATGAATCCAAGATGTTCGCTTAATAAAAGTAGCTACAAGAATCTGTCGTCAGAAGCTTTAATTAGAACCAGACCATCTTTAACAGAGTGAAACAAAGTAACTATGAGCATAAAAATAAAGCTAAAGAAGAATGTATTTGTCCTTAATGAACTGGAAGTTATAACTTACATAAAGAAAGATACATTAAAGCATGTAAAGCAATGACATGATGCCCAAACTTAAACAACTTTATCCACAAAAACTCCAGTTTTAAGCTCACTCCGCCTTCATCGCTTCTCATCCCAGCTAAGTGATGGTGCCATGCAGTCGCCAGGCCCCGTCAGATATGTTGGCTCACAGTTTCTGGGCCCACAGCTCAGGAGTTTGAGACTCTTTGCCAGACTCTGGGAGAGAGCAGAGAAGGAGCCAGAGCTGGAGGGAGTGCAGCCCCACAGGAACCCAGCTGCTGCCTGGGAAACCAAACCCTGGACCGGCTCTGGCCCACGCTCTCTAACCCCAAACCTCCTCCCTCCAGTCTAATAACAACACCCAGACTGTCTCTTGTTCTCTCTTTTCACTCTGTTGATTTTTTCCACTTCATTCTGGTGTGGAGTTTGGGGAAAAATAAGTCACCCGGCTGCACATTCCCTAAATACTTCCCACTGTTCATTTCAAAACACTCACACATGTTCATGTTCTCTCTCTCTCTCACACACACACACACACACACTCACAGGGGCAGGGGATTAGGCGTGAGTGCAAACACATATTTTCACACATACACATATTCACAAACATGTGACACTTACCCCGGTAGTGGAGGCTGTCATCGTGGTGGTTGTGCTGGTGGTGGTTCTCCAAGCCAGGGGGGCTGCTTGCACCCAGTTCTGCCAGTCTGCGGCTGGTGGCGGAGAGCTCAGAGCGGAGGTTAGTCACTTCCTGGCTGGCAGACTGGATGGCCCCATCAATCCTCTGTGCCAGCTGTTTGTTGTCGTCCATCATTTTAAAGATTTTCCCCTGAGGAGCAAATCCACACAGAGCAGCATGATGTCAAGAGGAGCACCAGAGGGGGGTGAAGCTCGGACCCTTTCCTACTCCACCTCCTACTTGTCCTCTTGCCCCCCTCTTCTTCTTCTTCTCCTCCTCCTCCACCTGTGCGTCTTCTATCACAGTTTACTTCGCACTTAAAAAAAAAAAGCAAAAATGATGGTCCCTCTGCTGTTCTCTGCTAAGATGATGTCTACCTGTTACTGCATAAAGAACAACGTCTGTGTAGCCAAAGGAAGCACGTGTGTGTCTGAGAAGAAAAAAAAAAGAAAAAAGAGAGAGGAGGAGGAGATGAACGCAAAGTGAGCAGGGAAAATAAAGACAGAAGAGGAAAAGAGATGCAGCCCAGCAGGCAGAGGGGAAAGTGAGCGCTCCCGCCGAGGAGAATGTGCTGTTAGCAGCTGCTCTCAGAGAGGACCCAGCACACACTGAGATGACATGCAGTCTTTTAAATGGATCGTACCATGTGCTGGAGGACCAGGGGAGAGAGAGGGAGGGGGGGGGTGCAGTTGGACTGAGCTACTCTCCACTAACTCTGAAACTACAAGAGTGGGTTGTCTATCCCACACCCTATGGAGCCTGTAATGAGTTGGCAATCGGGTCTGTTGTAGGGAAAAGCACAGATTGTTTCTCTTTACTTCTTCCTCTTTGGCAGCAGTATTGAACCCTTTGACAAGCACTTGTCAACCCCTATGTATCGTTTTCCCCCCTCCCGCTCCCACATTCCCTTCCTCCCTCTCACTCTCACACCCACTGTCTTTTTTTGTCTCTCCCACCCCCCTCTCTTTTTTCATTCCATTATATATTCATCTCTTTGTCCTGGGAAAGCTCACCCCTACATTGGTGGAAAGGGAAAGGGGGCTGGCCCAAAGCGCCCAAGGGGAAAACATTTCAACTCTGAGAGCAAACTTAGCCGAAGACAGAGGCAAAGGCCCTCTAATGGGCTTAACTAAAAAAAAATAAAAGAAGAGGCCTGGGAAATCACAATCACGCTGTCAGAAGAAAACATAGCAGAGTTTTACTTCTTAGATAAAAAAAACAGTTGGAGGGATCATATTTAAGCTTATCTGTAGGCCCAACAAATAATACCACCACCATCAATTCTTATCTGTACAGCTGTAAAATATCATTGCACACAGAAAGGGTTAGGGACGGGACAGCGACCGTTCATCTTAACTTTAAATGATACAGGAAATTGCTAAGACATCACAACTTGGAATCTGCATTTGACATTTCATTTCCCCAGTAAGAAAACACATCCTGTCTTTGGCAACAAACCGAGGAAGACGAGTGATACATCACTCAGACGCTGTCATCTGAAGCTTCGTTGATAACGGCTCAACGCTCATTGGTATTCACACAATAGCAGAGAGACAAACAAAGAAGTGGATCGCAGCCTGTTTGAGACTAGTGACTGAATCAGACATGCAACTTTTGGCCACACTGGTAGGTTTTTTGAGCCCATCTTTGGTCATGATAAAAACAATGATATGCAAAAAGGACATTGATTATGTTTCAATGAGAGGATGTACACAGCATCAGTTTGATCACATCACATGTTAGCAGATCATTATCAATGTCTAGACAGTCAAATCACTGTCATTAATTAGTGCGCTGACCCTGATTTGTAGCTGCTAAACACAGGACTAATATAGCACTTTAGACTTTAACTTTGAGTACAGTATGAGAGTTGTCTCTTTAAACTGAAGGGTCCTGCTATTCCTCCAAAACTGGTTTTCTTGCACAACACGACATCTTCATTCATATGAAACCAAAACCGCTGTCTGCTATGAGCATTGTGAAACAGTGCTTTCATACGATCCACTGTGGAATGCGAGGAAATGAATGATTTGGGGGTCAAAGGTCTAGAAGTGTCCCAGATATACATCAACAAGCAGACAAATACTTTGAGGATGCATAATTGTAGCGTGTCCAAAACATACAAAGTCCTCTTCTGTGTCCATAACAAGACTGAAAGCTTACATTTCCAGAGACCTTAGACCAGTGCATGGACCTGGATGACTCCCTTAAATAACCAGTTCTCCCATTAGTGCCTCTGTGGATTTGGTCCAAACTTGGTCCAGTGTTTGTGTTGTTCGTTTGCTCACTTGTTTTATACTATTAATGGGAAGTTTAATTAAGTGTGCCGAACGCATGCAGTTAAAAAGAGGTATTGATAAACAGTCACCATGACTGTCTGCCTGGGTTAATTGAATATCGACTAATCCTCCGCACACTGAAATGCTTTCCATTTTTACCCAATAGCAAAGTGATATAATGCCCTGCTCAACTATTTATACAGGTCTTATCAGGAGCCTGGGGAAAAAATCCACTCCACTCCACTCAACTTACTAATGTCCATCAAATACCAAGAGGAAAAAAAGCCATGGTGCCTGTAATGGTGCGTAAGTATGCAACAGTTTTATAATAGAAAAGGTTTGAGAAAAAAATGGTGTCGTGGGTGTGTGATTACATTGCAATGATGTGTTTGTTACTACATCAGTTTGCTGTGGAGAATTCAGCAACCATGTTTTATATCATTTCTTTTTTCTATCTTTGTGATGCCAGGGAGAAGACAGATCAATCTGAGTGTGAGGACACTTGACTCTCAGATCTCAGCACTGTGCTGGTCAAGGACCCTTCACCTCTCAGCTGCCTGTTTGCACTCTGCACAGTTACAGCCATCACATCCAGAGCAGCACATTTTCAGGAGTGATACTTTCATAGATTATAGAGTGAACTGAGAGTGAGAGACTTAAAGGTTACAGGTAAATAACTAACATGCTACTGATGCCTGATGATTGTCCACCATCTGTTCTCCAAGATAATACAATAGGATGCCAGAAAATGGTGCCCTTTCATTCAACACCTGTTTGTTAGTCCTGATTGCACGATTTCATATGCACTCAATCAATCAATATAATGATTGACAATTTATTTTGGTTAATAAACAGATAAGGCCTATGGGTGGCAATTTCTTATTGTGGTTGCAGTATTATAAAATAAGTGTAGAAGAAGCACTTATTGACAAATACGTCACATTCATAAAGACTTAAATTATTCTGCTTACAAATATGTTGTATTGTGTTTTTAACCCGTTATAAAATCCTAAATAAATAAAGGTGACAAGTTACTATACAAAACCCCTACGTTAGTCAAGGTGTCAGATGATTAAAATGACTTTACCCTGCTTGTAATATACTTTTGACCACTTGGGGATGGAACTAGCAGCTGAAAACAAAGCAATGAAGCCAATGCAGAAGTCCAAAAAAAAGCATTTCCATAAGTGTCCACTTGAGGATAGTTGCAAAAGCAAAGGTCAAATACAGTACACACACCAGCGTTAAAATTCCAATGTTGACAGCAGAAATAAACATGCTTACAGCCTGATTTTGGTCTGAATAGTTCATGTCTTTATGTGTATAAACTGTACGGGGGATTTTTTTTTTTTTTTAAATAACTCATATGTTTGGATTTTGGGAAGGAAAAGAGGTTTGCTTTATTATTTGCTAAGCTGAAGGCTCATCTCAGCCCCATCCTCTCTGCCTGCTGTTACTACGTTCACCAAAAGTTAGGTTGAGACAGCATTTTCAATATGGCAACCGCCATTGCCGGGCTTCATAACTCCCATTCAGATACAAAGGGTGATGTCACTGCGACTTTGTCCATGTTTTATAAAGTCTTATAAAGCCTTATGAAAATACAACATTGATCTATTACAGCCATAGAAAGTTATATGGTTTGTTCTTTTTCTTCGTCATCCTCTTTTGTGTTTATTGGCGGTTGGCAAACCAGCTTATAAGAGCACTACTGCCACCAAATGGAACAAGAGTACGGAGCATAAACATAAGAAAAAAGAAAAACCTGTTTGCATTCAGTGGCAAGAAGATCATGAGCCTTTTCTTGTAACTGCTATTTAAATTAAAAGTTTTAATTGATTTTAAAATGACACAAACTCATTTATGATAAGGACAAATCTGAAATTAAGATATTTAGGGTTCACAGTCAAGTTATATCAGGCCTCTTGGCTGAGTGTGTCAAAAGTTCTTCCAAGAAGAGTGTAGTCCCTTGAAAGAGACAATAATCATCCTTTAGGGAGTTTTATTACCGCATATAGAGTGACCATTACGCTTGTTTAAATACTCCAGAAAGATAGTCTACAAAGTGTGTCATACTCCATGTTGTTAAGTATTGTTCTGAAGCTAAGCCTGCAGAGAGAGCAGTGCTTGATTTCTAAATCTCTGTATGTCAAAATGTTCAGTGTCGAAGGGGCTACAACAAAGCAGCAGGTTTCAGGACATTTTATTCTGGAAATTAACGCTGTCTCTGCACACAGCAGACTGTCTGCCAACATCAAAGACTACAAGTGTTTTGAATCTTTATTTGTTGGCAGGTTAATTGGCGCCGCAGTTGGGTTTTACTTTTGTCGGTTCACCATCAGTGCAGCATGTTTGTGTGAGTGAAACAACAGAGGCAAAATGTTGCATGAAAGGGATAACAGAAGCAGTTTGAGAGTGAGAGGGTCCTTATCTGAGTTACAAAATAAAACAAGTGTTTTGTGTGCCACTACAGCACATCCTGTTTTCTCTTGACGATATGAGTGACAAACAGGACACTGTCAGAAGAACTTGGTCCTTGTTTGTTGGATCATAAAACCACTTTCCACTTGCAATGAGGAAGCATCAAAACATTCATACAAGTCATAAGATGATGGGTGAATATTCTGTTTAACATTAGAAATAATATGCGCTGATGTAACATGAAAATGGATAATTTATAGTGTATATGACTAGATAGCAAGAAAAAATAAAATATGGTTGAAAACTATAAAACGCCGAGTTTCTTTCAGTTCACTAGCTTTGAATGTTCACACAAAATGCAGATTTATCAAATGCAAATGTCACAGTTGGAGAGCAAAATGTGGGTATTTATGTCGGAGCAAGTGACGGGAGGAGAAAGACTGTTTCCTC